TCCACCAAAGCGTTTCATATTTCATCATTAAAATGTATAAAAAATGCATTGCATTTACATCGAATTTCAAACAATTGAAATTATTTTTAATTGTATATGCATTACGCAAGTTGACTAACTGAAATACTTCCACATATATTACGAAATATGTTTAAATTTAACGAGTACCAGCAAATAAAAAATCATTTGACACAATCTTGTGTTGTGTGTACCATAACAGGTATTTTGGTTCATGTTCATTGATAGGTTTTTGTTGAATTATTTAAAAAAAATCCCTTCGCAAAATAATAACTTTATCTTATTAACCACAAAAATTACGTTTGAATTAGGTATGCCAAAAAAGTTTAAAATTTTGTCCGCTAAGTTATCTAAAAGTGTATGGCAATTTCATAATTATTTCAAATTCTTCAAAATAACTAAAAATGCTATAAATATCACATATTATTTTATAATTATTTTGGATTTACTGGTGCCAATCAAGTCCCGAAATATTCATTTTGAAACAATTTATAAAAGAAGTAAAAAGGCAATTTATCAGAACCCAAATCCAAACTGACCAATTTCAATATGATATTAAGACTCGATGAGATTTCTTATTTCTGGTGATATGAAGAAATTTTGTGAGATTAGCACACATTTTCATAGTAATACTTGAAATAAATATTTTGTAATCTTCATAAATATTATTTCAAAAATGTGTGACAATATGAAACAATAAGATCGAAGTTCGTTTGATAAAGGGATCTACAGTTGTATGAAACGCGTGTTGGCTGTGCTTCTTCTTCCTCTTCTTCTTTTATGTGTATATACGCGCAACTCAATCAAATAATTGTTGCGTTGCGTACTAAACTATCAATACCATCTAAAGAAGATTTAGAATCATAAATCACTCAATAAATAACATAGGTGATTCATGCGCAAGTTGGTACCGTATACGCCAGAGCATGAATTTGTCACTCATGAAGAGCAAGCTTGCTGGGAGCCGCTCCTAGCTCTGAATGTGTTAGTGTGACTAACTTTGTTTGTATTAGTGTCTACTGCATACTAATACGAACTCAGGAGTCGCTCCTGACAAGCACATTTCGCTCTTCTGCGGCGCTGCGCTCGCTAAGCAGGCGTTTTCTTCACAAGTGCGATTTCATACTCTGATATACGCATAATCTGTTGACTATGAATTGTACTAGTTATTGTAAAGTTTTGTGACGGCACCATAAGTATACTAATATACACGTATTCATGATTTAAAAAAGACGAGAAACATTAAATTTTGGATGTAGGAAAATCCAGTTCATTGTTCAAATTAAAATATATTGTGTATATACAGCATACCCCATTGAAGATTTGTTATTTTAATATGAATTCAAGAAATATACATCAGAAATATGCAGATATTTAAATGGAAGTGACAGTTTGATTATATCAACAATGCAATTTCAATATGTAAGCACACCCCAATTATTATCATTTTGGTAAATTTATTTGAAAGAAAAAAAATGCTTATAAAAAGAAACTAAACCAAAAATGAATAACAAAATCCAAAGAAAAATATTAATATAAGATATAAGGTATAAGGCATTTGTTCCAAGGGGCGTATCTGATTAGCAAATTGTGAACTGTATAAAGTACCTCTTTTGTCGATTTCGACACACCCAAAATATCTGTTGTTATCAATTAATGTGAGCACAAAAATGAAGTTACTTGAATTAGTATCGATATTATACTTATATGAATGGGGCAAAATAAAAATCCGACTTGTACCAGAGTTTTTTTAAATAGTTTATTCGTTGTAATACAACAAAAATTCTATGTGAAAAAAAGTCTGTGTTCCACTTTTATAGACTCTGAGTACAAGTCGGATTTTCATTCTGACCCATTCATATATGAGAGTGAACATTGCTATTATACTTTTGTCACTAATTCTTTTTTGTAATGATTTCATTAAATTTGTCATTGTGTTGATTTGATACATTTTGTGTTTTTATAGCACTATATGATAATTGTTAAATATTTTGAAGAATCGCCGAATCCAATATTTGTTGGAAATTCAATGAGAGACAAAATACAGCCGACGTAAGCGTTATAATCCGTATTTTGAAAATTAAACACTTTCTGCGTAATTTACTATCAATAAATATTTTGCACAAAGCAAAAAACTCTCAAATAGATTCATAATATATACCAAAGCCCATTTTGAAAAAAATAAATAAATAAATTCACAAATAGATGGCGTATATTTTACACAAAGAATTGAACCAAACACATCTTTTATCAAATTTAGAACAAAAAATTGCGCATAAGCTTTGTATATCCATACGTGAAAGAAAGGGCAATCGTTTCTTCTGTTTTGTTTCGCTGCGACATTCGGAACATGCACATAAAATCAATGCTTTTTATCACACAATAATATAAATCGAGATGACTTTCAAAACACTCACGAGAGATAAAATTAAACAATTCACTGATTAGATTCTCCAAAATATCAAAAATGGTGGTGAAATTCAGATTTTTTCGCGTTGTTTCATCTATTTTTTGCAAACTCGCAACAAACAAATCTATTGTATAAAGTTTATACTATAAACAAATAACGCTGTTATGATTTCACTTATAATTTCTTCCATATGTTCAATACTATCCCAAGAAACAAATTTTAAAGTAAAATCATCATTATCAGGCACAAATTTACGGTCAAATTGTGGCCCGGATTTGTGTGTAATTCAGAGTTTTTCAATAAACTCCACTTACTACTACGGCTGCTGTTGGCAATGGCTGACTGTTGTCATTCTGACGTGGTCTCCGTACATTTGGATGAATTGTCCGCTTCAACACCACGCTTTAAATTCTTTTACAATTTCAATTAATTACATACCTTTGTAGAGGCCATACAGTTGGAAGCGTGGGTTGTGCTTCAGTAGCTCCCTCGATTTCAACGTTTGCAACATTTGGTTGCGTTCTTCTTTGACACCAAACGACCTGCATTCGGTCCATCTAGAAGAGTTGCCGCGATAGCATCGCCTATATATAAATCCAACAATTGGATTTGGTACACAGCCCACACATTTCTTATATCGATCTCGTCGAGTTTCTTCCGGGAATCGTTTGAAACACAATGGACCATTCGAATAATACAATTGCCACGTTTCATGGTGGCTGCAATCAGTTTTCGAGTGCCTGGACATCGCACATATTTCTTGATTTTAATGGGTGAATTGGCTGGTGTTGAACCGCTAGTTCTCATGTAGAAAATTGATGAAGAAAATGAATCATTAGAATTGAAATACAAAAATAAAAATTAACGTTGTATTGGGTCAGGTTCACATTATGCTGTGGAAAGTGGAAACTATACATATGTTGAAATGGTAAAAAAAAACGTTACAAATTTGTTTGATACTAATTCAAATGGTATTATTGATATTGAGCTCACATTAACTATTTAATTTTAAGTGGTTTCGATAATGTTTATTACCCCTTAAAATCATCATCCTTAAAATTACATTATTGAAAAAATGTTTTTCCGTCATTGAAAAATATTTTTAAAAATAACTCAACATTCAGACAACTTAAATATAGATATTAACAATTGGAATTCGAAATAAGTTCTGAATCAGTGCAAAAGTTTATTTGAATTAAATTTATGTACATCTAGTATCAGCTAATAAAACGGTTGCAATGTATTATTAAAAAAACTAACATTCGTAAATAATTAAAATGTAGCTATTATAAAAATATTCTCCTAACTTTACTCATTTCAGTCATATATGTAGCAAATATATGATGAGCAGGGCGTCTCCAGCAGAGGGCAAGGGGAGGGTGACGCTAGCCTCCTTGAGCCCACAAACTAGAAATTGTCCTCGTTTTTAGGAGCTCGAAAACTGGAACATGCTTTTCGAACTATATTTTTCTTAAATTTCGGCTCGTTTCGCCAATTTAAATCAGTGTGTCCATAATATATAGAAATAACACTAAATAGTGTCGATATCTATACTATATCGGTCCACTATATATGGAAGATATTTCCGCACGGCACCGTATCGCACGATCGAAGTGAGTGTAGACGGAAAAAATTACAAGTCGCCGTGCGGCAGTAGAAAGAACTGTGTGTATGCGTCAACATGTTTGCCGTCCGCACTCACGTCGATCGTGAGTTACGGTGTCTTGTGGAAATATCTTCCATTTGGTGCACCGATATAGTATAGATATCGACACTATTTAGTGCTATTTCTGTTATGGATACACTGATTTAAATACTCCTTTCTTCTGTTTTTATATGCATCGTTCAGAATAAAATACATTAATTAATTGTACGTCAAAATTACAAAATTATTCGGTTTTTATTGAAAGTTTCATTGAAAAACAATTGAAAGTTTCTCAGAAAACTATAGATATGAGAAATCAACAAAATAATCGAAACAAAAACGTTAGAAAATATCTCAAATAACAAAATTGATTGAAAATACCCTTTTTAGACAAAAAAAATCATCCGTTTTGTATTCAGCACTCTACCGGTCATTTGGTGCATTTGGAGAAAGACTGTTTATAGTAAACTTATAGCTCGTGAAACGGTAATCAATCTGCTTGTTTGACATAAATTGTACGAAATGACCGATAGAGGGACACAAAAAGAGTGCATTTTTCGATTTTCTTTCGCCTATATACTCCCTCCCTTTTATAATTCCTTAATGTTTTTACCCAATTTTAATCGTGGGATAAAAAATAATAGACTTAGGAAAATATGTTGGTAATCAAGGTTTAAATTTCAATTGTAATTATGCAATGCATAATATGCATTCACTTCGATTTCTATCAAAAGCCACTTTTGTTTGATTTGTAAAATAAAAATTTCAAAAATTCGAAAAGAATATTTTTTAAGAGATACTGTATTTTTGACGTCCTCTATTTAGTCAGTATTCCTGGAGACGCCCCTGATGATGCCTGTTTATTTTCTTTATTTAATTTATTTTTCATCCTTTAATTGTTTTTTAATGACTTGAATTATTATTTAGAATTGCGGTCTCGGTGATTTTACTGAAGATCCTTTCAAAGATTATCGTTATGAAGATCCTTTCAACATAGAAGACCCATTTTGCGACACTCAAGGTAATTATTACTCAAACTTAAGAACTACTCACCAAATGTACATCAAGCACATGTATGCTATATTTAAAGTTCTAATATTGATATAGATCATGATATGAATCGTTGCGGAGAAAAAGTAGCAATATAAAGTTTTTTATGAATAGTTTATTTGTTGTATTAGAACCAAACTATGTAATATCGATAGATGCCATCGAAATAATATATGACATATTTCAATATATTGTCGCATCGTAGCATGCGTAAGTCGCTTGCAAACGAACCAAGTGAATAACGGAGACGCACGAAAACGAAGTGAGTGGATAGCAGCAACGGATAACATCGTTCGTTGTCGCTATTCACTTTGTTTTCTTGCGTCTCCGCTATTCACTTGGTTCGTTTGCAAGCCACTTGCGCATGCTACGATGCGACGATATATTGACGCATCGATCTATCGTTTCGATGGCATCTATCGATATTACATAGTTTGATTAGAACAAATAAACCGTGAGAAAAAAACTTCATGTTGCAGTATTACTTGAAGAAAAATAAGAGCTACTTTTTCTCCGCAACGATTCATATGTAGCTATCCAATTGGAAATAATATATTAATTGAAATATAATATATGGAATTTAATGCCACTAAAAGTTATGCTATTTCTTTATTAATAATTGTATGGAAAAGTAAAAAGAATATGTTCATACTAACATATTATGGTGTAATTGTTTCTTCATCTAATGGGAAATTGTTTTATGCACTTGTACAGATGCACATTCGAAGGTGGTTCAATCGGGACAAAAAAATGAACATTTAACTCAGGACAAGAATATTTCTAGCGGATTTGTACGAGAAGAACCTTTAAACGGTGTTGGTTCAAACAATAATAATGAATCCATAGATAATTTTGCCAATTTTGATGCATTTTCATCGACGAACGACTCAGACTTGTTTGCAAACATTGCATTTTCTAGCAATCAAGTCGATGGCCATGATGTAACAACAGCTTCCCCTAATGCCAAAGATCAGTTTTTGGGAAAAATCGATAATTATAAAAGTTTTAATAATTTGGAAACCAAATTCAACTGCTTCGTAAAAAATGACTCAACAAAACATCAACATTTACAATACCGCTGCAGTTTGGATGATGAAACGAACTTCGCAGATTTCAGTAATGCTAATGTATTCAAATCAACTACCAACAAAATGAAATCACCATCAACAAACTGTGATATAGAAAAACATCAGGAGAATATTCCTTCGAAATTCCAAAATAAATTTTCCAAAAATGAGCAATTCGACGCTGATCTTGAAGAAGCGTTAAAAAGAAGTTTAGTGGATCAATGAACAAAATGTACTCATTTAGATATTACATTTAGATTAAGCCAAATCAATCTGCGATGAAAACGAAGTCATTATTGTAAAACTTATCGTCAGTTTTTCAACCGATTTGAATAATATTAATTTTAATGTATTTTTGGAAGTATTATATACAGAAATAGAAAAAACTCAAATATAACTTGTTCTCTTTTATTTCGTTATTTATTTAACTGAAGATTAGATAATTGTTATGTTTCCAATGTTAGAATATCTTCTTCGAATGATCCTGTAAAATTATGAGTGGATTCATGCTGATTACTATGTTGATAATTCATCTGTTTATGGTTTCGTTTTCCATGAAATTTCATTGGTTGCTTGATTCCAGTGTCTTCACTCCTCGCAATTTGATGGGATAAATCAAACACTTTTGGTTCATGTTGTGGTTGCATTTTTTCATCAAGAGCTGCTAATGATATTAATATTGCCTCCTCTGTCCTGATAGTACGCGATCCTATTTAATTTATAAATAAATCAATAAAAATTATTATAAAATTAAGTCTTTTAGTTTTGATTTACCTTGATTGGGTGCAACGTTGATATAATTGTCAAACAACAAACTAGGATCATCGACATCCAAGTTTTCATCGTTTTCAATGGCCGCATTTAAACCCAAAACACCACCATAAACAATCAATGCATGATTAAATTTCAATGATTTTTCCGTTAAACTGTGAATATTCGTTCCCTTATCAGATGTTCCAATTGTCAAATCATAACCATTCTCATACTGAGATTTAGTAAAAATATCGGAAAAAGATTTTGCAATTCGAACAGTGTAACCCCAATATACTCCTGTTTCAAGACGTGGTTGAAGCGGCGAGACAATTTTACCCCTGATTTTCTTTGATTTTAAATCTTGATTTAACTCCAATTTAATTGTAACTCTTAAGCCTGGAGTAAGTATTTTATCGACTAAGCAGTCATTCAAAAGACCAATATTTATGTATGAGCCTTTGCTTTGCTTGGGTGGTTTTCCGCTCACGACGCCTTCACTGCAACAAAATTGGTATTTTAGTCTTTTATACTTTCACACATGTTTTATTCAAAAGTCTTTACCGGTAAATAAACTCGCTTTGTTGACGCAAATGATGCGGAGCATCAAGTGGATTCAAGAGGCCAGTATACTTTAAATCTTTGTGTAATGGAAAGAAAAATTTCCGTAAATATTGTGGACATTCTAAATATTGTAAGATTCTGGCTAGTTGTAAACAGCAATGCCTAATGTTTTTAGTCTCGCCATCCTCTTGCCAAGTGTCACTAGTTTTTGAGCGTTTTGCATTATCTTCACCCAGATCATCAAAAACAATGATTTCATCTACTTTAAAAATGCAAGCAGCTCGTGCTATTTGCCCCGCTAGATATGTACGTAGTTCTTCCGATTGAGCATTTTCAAGTATTGAACCGGGTACAGCTATACTAAGTGTTGACACGGCTGGTGTTAATTTCTCCTGTATGTCTTTTTCCGCCCTTTGACGTTCCTGCTCATCGCGCTTATTCTGCTTTTCCAACTTTTTCAACAGATTTTGTTCACGATAAATCTTTCTTTGTTCTTTTTGTTCACGGTGAATCTCACGCCATGATTTCTTTTTTCCCGTGTGTGCTACGGAGCTCGACATCTTCAATATATTCAAAGCTTGTACAAAATTTATAGACTTTAGGTACAATTTACCGAAGCAAACACGTGTGTTTACATTTAGAATATTGTTAATTTCATTTGTCAGTGTCAAAATCTAGTACAACTCTACTACAGCATACAATCTACTATACAAATGGAATCTGTTGTTGTTTGTTTGGCTGTCATTCCTTAAACAGTATATATAAAACTGTAAAAATACATTTCCGAAAGAAATATATTTTTGGTATGCAAAAGTATTTAAAAAACTAAAATTAACTTTATAGAGTTAGAGAATTAAAGATCTCTACAATATTTTGGATGTATATATCAATTTGAGCAATTACTAAAAAGTATATTTTTTACAACTTTTATTATTTATATTTATAAAAATATTATTGCTAATAGTTTCATACAAATTTGCTGTTGAAAGATATGAGGAATCGCAACATTATGTCATCTGAGCAACCAAATAATGACGATATACGTGCAAATGGTAAAGAGCTTTTATTTGCATGATAATTGCTTGGCATCATATTTCATTGGGAATTATTTAACATTGATTATTTTTTTAGGCAACGAGCAAAGCTACATTCAACTTCAACAATCGCAAAAAGTTCGAAAAACGCTAAACAATATGTCACATCTACTAAATACCGGACTTAATGCTGAAACTCTGGATGTATGCATTCGGTTATGTGAAGCAGGTGTTCATCCCGAAGCACTAGCAGATATTGTGACCTCTATCCGTTCTGAAATGGACGCTCTTAATCGCGATAGCTATTAAGGTTTTAACACGTTGATAAATACAAGAATGTTCATGTATTTTTCTGTTCTACAGAAATGCATTATTAAAGCTAATATCGCATAATAAAATCTAGTTTTAAACAATAAAAAGATAGAGTATTTTCATAACAAAAGGTTACAGAATAATTCAAGACAAAAGAATAAACTCATGGTCTAGTGCCATTGGCGTATGAAACTTTATGCTCCAGTAGATTTATTAAGAGCGGAAGTATGTTGGTATATTTCCGCTCTTTTTCTATTATTTTGCTGAATATTTCGACACATTTTTAAAATAAATAAAATTTTCAGCGAGAGAGCGATAGTTGAATTTATGTTCAGT